TTTTCATTATGAAGTAAAGTTGATATTCCCCGACCGTCCACACAGCACTGTCATGTGTTGTGCTGCTCGGGTTCTAGGACACCGGCCTTGTAATGGTTTGAAAACTAAATCTACAGTAATAAATTTGTGCCAGCAAAAAATACTTGCTTGAATTACATGAAAATGGAAAATGGAATTTCCAAGAGAAACGTGTGACATTTACGCTGAGCAAATGTTTCTGTTGATGTGATAGAGGAGCACAGTGAAGCTTCGTGACGTGAAATATTGCTTTTTCGAATTAATTTGTGCAAAGTGCAATTTCAGCATCATGAAGATACTGTGTCACATGATTTATTAACCAGTACATGCTAATTTTCCTCTGTTAAATCATATATCAATCATCATGGTCCCTGGGACATTCATTCGTGATAAAATGTTTTTGGAATCCCAAAGAAAGTAATTCACCAGACAGTTCAGAACTTGCTTTGAAATTGATGAAAATATAAATAAGACGTTGGTGTCCCACTGGTGCCTGCTCACTGGACAAGGTCATCAGTGATGGTAGTTGTCATGGTTGGTCACCAAATGGCTAAGGGTGTAGAATTTCTTTAAACAAAAATGGGCATGTGTTCTCTGGTTCGATGTTTTGGTTGCCATTGGACGTGTCGACAATTTTCTGATACCCATATTTTTTGGGATGTGGTTTGTGGGTGGATGTTTTGGTAACCTTTGGCTTGTGTAGGAGTGAGTGAGTTTAGTTTCATGCCACATTTAGTAATATTCCAGCAATATTATGGCAGAGGACAACTGAAATGGCTTCACACAATGTAGCCATGTTGGAAATCAAACCCGAGTCTTCGATATGATGAGTGAGGCTTCTGTAGGCAATATTCTGATACACTTATATATGTGGCTTTCAAAGTTGTAAAACCATTATCTGGGCATGCCAAGGAGCTGGGTTTGATGTGTGAACCATCTCCTATAATATTCCCACAGGAATAGCGTTTAAAGCCAGTCTTGTCACTCACTCGTCCACTGGCTCCAATTTGCACATCATGGAAGTCCTCCTGCAGTAGGAGCAGACACTTCAGGTTAAATCTGCTGGTCAGATCGTCACCACTGATGGCCAACATGAAATAGTTTTGACACATAGTAGCCATTAGGCAGTGATAGAATCATTTGATCAGTAACTGGTTGAAAACATCACTGGTACTGGAGGTGCTGTGTTTTCCACTCGCTGTCTCAAGTAGGTCTGAACCACCTTCTCCCCATGCTGTGGGGGAGAGGGAGAGGGGGTAATAGACACCTTAATCTCCCCAGCTGATTCTTATCTTGTGTGATCATTGGCATCAAGTACTAATTTCAAAATCGGTATTATGACTACTTTCACTTTTTCAATAACTCATTCTAAGCCTTAAAGGAAGACAGGCTATGGTGCTGTCTTTTGCCAGTTTTTCGTTGAGGCTGGTAAAACAGTATCAACGTGTAGCTTATTTTTCATCCATTTGCTGAATTTGTTTGGTTATCTGATCAGGGAAAGTGACTTCAATTCTCAGGAGCCCTGGTAATGGGTTGGGTGGCACCAACCGATTAATCGCCTCCATAATTTGATTTCTTTCCTGGTGTCAAGACTTGTAACCAGGAGAGACATTACGTGGAGAAGAGTGTCAGTAATTCAGGCTGTTGTTTGTTTTTTCTTCGGATGTGAGAGTGTTGGAGACATAAAGCTATTAAAGAACAAACACCTGAGTTAGTCTTCCTTTCTTTTCCTAAGCTGTGTGTGGAGTTTCAGTTTGTGTGTGGGAGAAGTGACGATTGCGAGTAACAGCTTCCAGGAATCATATAATCGATGCCGCCATCCCACGTATTACTGTTACGATGGCACCAGAATAAAAAACAAAATACGGAATAATCAAATATCCCCATGGCGATATGTGTTGTCACAGAAACCTTTCTTCTCCAAAACAAAATAAACAGATTTGTTGCAATCACTTAATAGATCCCAGACAGATTTTATATTTATGGCAAAATTTGAGACTGTGACTATTTTAATAATATTTGGAATACTGTGTTTTTATTCTGATGTGCATCCCAGCTATTTAAAATGATGTGTTTGGAATGGCTTAGTAAGCGATATAAACGGAGATATATTCAATAAATTATTTTGATTGATTTTTTTGCAAAATATTCACAAAATGTAGTTCAGTTGGTAAAATGATTAAAATTTACAGAAAATTGTGGTTTATGCTTTAATGGATTACATGAAATTCTTGGCACTAATCAGCAAATGGTTTCCTTAGTAGATGAATTTTCTGATTCTTGAAAGAGTGGTGTCTGTACATTGATCACCTGATCCTTGAAAGAGTGGTGTCTGTACATTGATCACCTGATTCTTGAAAGAGTGGTGTCTGTACATTGATCACCTGATTCTTGAAAGAGTGGTGTCTGTACATTGATCACCTGATTCTTGAAAGAGTGGTGTCTGTACATTGATCACCTGATTCTTGAAAGAGTGGTGTCTGTACATTGATCACCTGATTCTTGAAAGAGTGGTGTCTGTACATTGATCACCTGATTCTTGAAAGAGTGGTGTCTGTACATTGATCACCTGATTCTTGAAAGAGTGGTGTCTGTACATTGATCACCTGACTTGGAATATGAATATGGGTTCTTATTTTGGGAGATTCTTTTAAGAAATCGTTGAAACTTCTTTATCAGAGATGACTGAGCTAAGTGTCTGCTATGTAAAACTAAATGGATTAGTGCTGGGTCTGGGAGGAACTTTGGGGGTGTTTCGGGATTCAGGATGTTGTCAACTGACTTGCGCCATACTTCAGACTCCTCACTGATCATTGATTTTTTTTAATGAGGGAGAAAATTACATCTCAAGTGTGTGGAGAGGACAAGTTTTTCTGCTTCGTGTTGAAGTGTGATCAGCCATCGCTGCCACAAACCCTTGAACATCCTAAATGATTTACCCTCTATCAAATGTTATGTATTCACTTGGGGAAAATGAGCAACTCTCTGTTGTAAGGTCTATGTATGAGTAAGGATCAATTCGTTGGATTCAGCTAGTCTCTTAACTGTATAATCGGCTTCTTTGAAATTAAAGAATTTCTCAGATCAATCCTAAAGAAATCTGAGTTAGGTCACTTGGGAAAAGGAAAAAGTTGATAACCTCATTTGTATAGCAGATACAATGTTGGGGATGAACAGTTGCCCCCAGGGCAATGATGTTTTCAACTGCCATTTAAATGGAAGCTTGATTCAACCCAGGTTTTAGAATGAGGAACATTTCTTTTAAACAAATACGATCATGTTCTTTGACTTGACTGTAATTTGTGACATGAATAGCTCTTGTTGTGACAAAGTTTCCGAGAGTGTTCCTGAGAGTGTTCCTGATCGATGATGAAGTGTCAGTCATAACCCCTGATATCTGATGAAGACCATATGGTTGGCTTCTTGATATAAATCCATATTTGACTGTGGCTTAGGTGTCCTGGTGATATCCATGTGCAGGCAGCTTGGATTGTTTCTGATGAGAGATGGGAAGCTTAAGATAACCGTTTACACAGTAAGAGGACACCATTGACAGGAAGGGAAGAACTCTGTGTAGGAGGGATTACATGCTGCCAGGATTGCACTGTCTCATTCCACGCTACAGGGGGTAGAGTGTGCAGTCAGTGGAAGTGGTATACGGAAGGTGTATATGGAGATGTAACGCTGGAGGTGACTGCAGTGTCTCAGTCCCTGCTGGTGATATGGTTGAGTGTAGTGTGTGCATTCAGTGAAGGTGGTATACAGACGGTGTATACGGAGATGTAACGCTGGAGGTTATAGCAGTTTCTCAGTTCCCGCTGGTGATACAGTTGGGGGTAGTGTGTGCCTTCAGTGTAGGTGGTATACGGAAGGTGTATACGGAGATGTAACGCTGGAGGTGATTATAGTGTCTCAGTCCCCCCACCGTTGATGTAGTCAGTGGAGGCGGTTTATGGAAATGTAGAGACGTAACACTGGAGATGATTACTGATAATGATGTCAGATCGGTGCAGAGGGTTATGTCAGGAGTTACTGCAACAGAACCTGATGGCTTTGTTTGACTCGCCAGCTGATAAGGTCAATTGTGATGTGATTAGCCTGGGGCTTGTACCAGGACAACTTGCTCCTAGCCTTCAGAGCTCATAGTGCCACAGGCTGGGGATATTTCTGGTTGTTGAGAAACTTGGAGCAAGTATATTTTCTGGATAAACTGGATGTGGATATCTTGTGGAAATATTAATTAAAACATGAGATATTTCAATCATGGAAGACAAACTTTTACATCATCATTGAACAAGAAGTTACCTTTCATGTTTTAAGCTTTCTTGATTGACAAGACATTTTACAGGTTTTCAGTAATTTGTCACAGAATATTCAATTATTCTTGAATGATTGGGTTCATTTTTTTGTTTCTTTTTACATAAAGATATATACATTGACTGTAAGTGTTGACTTGGGTGCACAGACACTGATGTGCATGGGAACGGTTGTGCATGACTGACTAGACAACTCACCCTGTGGCTGTGCAGCTCATGGCCTGATGCTGCTGATTAGAGGCGACAACATCAACAACAATGGTGTAACGCTCACTGTTAACGAGAACATGTGATACCTGTGTTTTTAATTAGAGGAAAGACTCACAGATGCTGTGTTGTGGAGATGTGGTTGTGTGAGGACTGTTTGCTGATGGTGAATACGCCGCTGCTGTCGATGTCTCATGTTGTCACTGAAACCGAAACCTGGAGTTAGAAACAATCAAGGAAGTGTTGTTTCTCTGATTCATGATGGACCAGAATAAGGTTGTCACAGGCTGTTATCAATCATGGGAACTGTCAGTATGAAAATATTTTCATGGATATCATGACACTATCTTTATTCAATGGTGCGGCAATTTTGAGATGTTCATTGTGACGTTTACCTGATGGACGTGATTAAACGTGTGTATTTTCACAAGTGATGTCAGCAATGAAATTTTTCTCCAGACTCTTGGACAAGGTACAGACGGAGCCAGTTCTACGGGAAGATGGCCGTCGCTTTGTTGTCTCGGTCACTAACCTCCTGGAGAAGCTTCTTGACTACAGGTAAGGCAATATTTCTATTTATGTGATTTATGTGATATAAAAAATGTAGTTGGGAACTCACTCATTCACACACTGCTCATTCACACACTCATCCACCTACCCAAATCCCACCCACTCACTCACTCACTCACTCACTCACTCACTCACTCACTCACTCACTCACTCACTCACTCACCTACTCACTCACTCACCCACCCACCCACACATCCACTCACTCACCCACCCACCCACCCACTCACTCACCCACACATCCACTCACTCACTCACTCACCCACACATCCACTCACTCACTCACCCACTCACTCACTTGCATATAGCCAACTAATTCACTTTAATTGTAATTCTTCACTCAACCAACTCAACCCCTGTAAGTTTTCCCATTTTACCAACTCATTTACTCACAGGCATTATAATGTTATAGGGACTAATTCTGGACAGCCATCATCCAAATATTTAAAAAGTAAAAACTATGTACTCAAAACATGTGAGACTTTATTGTTATTATTTATATGACGCTAATCTGTATTCTATGTAATCCTTATCACTTTCCGCATTGTACATTGACTTGTCAGGCAGTTAATTACTGTATATGACATTTATAACCTAATTGGTCACCCCCCTTGGCCGTGTCTGCCATCGCATCAACTGGTCAAGGAAGTGCTATTGTTTTTCTCTTTGTCCATTGTTGAGTCGTCGCCTGCCCATTGTTGTCAAACACTGTATATATACTTAGTATGCTCACATCTACACTGTGAAGGAGTACGAGTCCGGTATTCCGACTGTCTGTAGGGACGACCACGAGCAGAAGGAGAATGTCGCTCGTAGGAAACGCCCTGGGGTTGAGGAGGTACTCCGCTCACCACCTCTTTTATGCCTTGTGTATTTGTTTGTCATGTAACTAAAGAAGTTTGAGCTCAACGTATTCCTTCGTCTTGTCAACGTATTGTACGTACACTTCATCTTAAACATGAGCTAATTCCCAGTCGACGATATACGTACGACGCCAATAACACTAAGATCAAATCAACTCATTTACTCATCTCTTGCATTTGTTTATCACAGATTATTCCCCAATTTGCTGTCACTGTACATGATAGTGAATTACAAGATCTAGATCTATTCTGGAAACATTTTAAACCCCTGCAAGTCTCATGTCTGTAAGCTGACATAGTAGCACTGACAATGTCATTATTGTGTCTGTCTACACACTTGATCAAGCAGATTGCTGTAAGCCCGTGGGATTATGCCAGGGAATAGGACAAGATTATAGTCCTCTGGGGGACTGAACGGTCGTGATTGACAAAATTGTTCATTCTTGTTGACAAGGTATGGAACAGCAACACTTGCAATGGCTGAAATCGACTTGTCCCATTGATAGTTGTGCTGAGCTAAGATCAGTATTCATGGTCCTGCGTAATTCCTAGCGTGAACACAATATGTATAAGATGGGTTTATAGTGCTCTTTTAATGTCTTAGGAATTCCTTGGGGGTTTCCGTGCTGAGAAGGTTCCAAGTGTTATGAATTGTTAGTGGACAAATACAAATGTGAGACTGTAGGCTATATTGGCCTATATTGTGGGGTGCATTGTTCATCAATTCAGCTGTGCACTGAGATGTGCCATAGCGGTCGGCATATAGGACATGCATCCCATCGTCCCTAACACCCGGGTTCAGTTTGCCGTGTGGGTATCGTGTGGAACCCCTTTCTGGTGACATTGCTGGAATATTGCTAAAACTGCTGGCATAAATTGCTGTGCCAGGTAATCGCAGTCACACCCCTACATTAACCAAGACAACAGGCACTACAGATATTCAAATAGCTTCAGATTATTGGCTAAGGTGACAGACTGAAAAGGTAAAGGCCTATCTTTGACGTTTGTCATGTTTGGCTTTCCACAAACTGAAGAGGTCAAGGCATGTCTATGATGTTTGTCCTGTTTGTCTTTCCACAAACTAAAGAGGTCAAGGCCATGATGTTTGTCACATTTGGTGCTACCTGCACCCATTACGTTTCCTTCCACAATCTGCACACACACCATGATAAAGGTGAAACAAAACCCATGTTAAACCCAAGTCACTCACCAAAGTGTCTTTTATGTTTATTGACAAGTAGTCAGGCAAGTGTGTCAATGGTTTCCAATACTCTTTTAGTAAATAAACAGTTCATTTTAGCAGTTCATGCTGGTATAGACTTCCATCCAGTGAAGATGTTAATCTGTTTCCGACAGCTGTTTCAAGTTGCTGAATCTGATCGTGCAGAAGGAAGTGGGCACATTACACACATAATGGCCATAATTTGACCTTGTAATCAGCAGCAACTGTTTCTGTGATGTTGCAGCGTAATGTGGTCAGCCATTGCTGGAAGGAAGATCAGTTCCGTTGCTATCTCTGTAATGAAGTCTGAATGAGGGAGAACCAGATCTCTGACCCCAGTTTAAACATTCCCCAAAGCCATTCCTCCATCAGCTGTCATTATACTCATATACTTTACCCTTGACCTTGGTCTAGACTCAACTGTTGTATTGAAGTATTGGTAAACAAACAGGCACTTTCTACAAGAAACCTGCAGGTGCTAATTGTAGAACACATCCCATTGTTGCCAACACCCTTTGTCATCACTGATTTTCAGGAATTAATTCATATATATTAATGCTATTTTGCCTTTTTCACACTATGGAACTTTTGTTTCTGCAGATATATGAGACTATGTATGCTCATGATGGCACTCACACTAAAACCAAACTTAACAGATGTCTTCTTTGCTCTCAACTATGGATAATTTGTTGTACCTGCAATATCATCTTTATCGTACAGCTACTTTCAATACAAATAGACCTGTGAAGATCCAGGGTAGAATAGGTCTTCAGCAACCCATGCTTGCCACAAAAGGCGACTATGCTTGTCGTAAGAGGCGACTAACTTGGTTGACACATGTCATCGGTTCCCAATTGGGCAAATCGATGCTCATGCTGTTAATCACTGGATTGTCTGGTCCAGCCTCGATTATTTACAGACCGCCGCCATATAGCGGCATAAAACTAAACTCTCTCACTCAAAACAAATAAGGTGTTAAAATTTCCTTTTTGTACAGAAATAGAAACCAAGGTCACATCACAACATATTCTAAAATATTTTCCAGAAACATTTTTGAGTTACTGTAAACACCATTTATAGGACAATGTTACCTTCGATGAGGAAATGAAAAGTGAAACGTTTTAGTTCAGTGTGTTGGAAAAGCATGTGATGAGGTATCTATATTCACTGAACTATATTCAGGATATGTGTCAATCCTATTGTTTCATTTCCTGTTGGGGCGGTGGGGTAGCCTAGTGGTTAAAGCGTTGGCTCGTCACGCCGAAGACCCGGGTTCGAATCCCCACATGGGTACAATGTGTGAAGCCCATTTCTGGTGTCCCCTGCCGTGATGTTGCTGGAATATTGCTAAAAGCGGCGTAAAACCAAACTCAGTCAGTCAGTCAGTCATTTCCTGTTAAGTATAGATATACTTGGATGCACATAGTAACATCATGTGACTCGTGTTCCAGATGTAAAAAGTAATGTTGTGACAAAATTTTAGAATTGTAAATAATATTGTTATAGCCATTGCTCTAAACTGTAAATGGAAAATATTGTGATGTTAAAATGTCTATATGAAAAACTTCCTTTTGTGTGTAAATAATGGCTATATGTTAACTCGGTCATGTCGCTATACAGCTGAAATAATGCCATATAGACAAACTTTATGGATAATAACTTCTTTTATTTCATGAGTGTGGCCTCATGGTTAAAGCGTTCGCTCGTCAGACCCGGGTTCAATTCCACACATGGGTACAATGTGTGAAGCCATTTCTGGCCCCTGCTGTGATATTGCTGGAATATTCCTAAAGCGGTGTTAAACTAAACTCTCACTCACTCATGAGTGCAATGTTTGGGTACAGACTCTTGTACTGTAGTAAGCAGGAATGAGATAATGCCAATGCAATGAATGTTAACTCACTCACTCAAGTTTTGTACTTCCTGGTGGTTTCAAGACCTGGAGAGTTTGGTTGTAGTGAAAGATGGGGTCACCTTCTCAATCACCCAGATTGTTGTCTTGAATTACTCCAACCCCAAATGAGATTGTTTTTCTTTTGACAAAGACGAATGAGAATACCAGAAGGGTTAATTACACTGCAGGCAGGCAGGCGGGTTAGAGTGTCGAATAATTAATTCTTTCATGCTAATTTAATCCATTAATGTACCTGTTACATTGGAAGTTTTAGACCAGTATTCCCTACTTTTGGTGTGGAGTGTCCCCAGTAGGTCTTGTCCTTGGAAGGATAAGTGTCTTCTCTGTCTGCAGTGAGGAGGGACATTAATACAGTCGGTGCCGAACCAGTCTGTCAGTGGCTCAGACTCCCACTTCATCACTGGAACTGTCAAGCAACAGTACTTCTTCCTGGGAACATTTGTTCCTAGTCAATTTACAGCTTAGACACCAAAGGTACACAGGGTCATTCAGATAATGTAGTTGGAAGTATTCAGTGATCGATGCATTGTTTCCGTGGAACTGGAAGTGCGGTGATCATTTAATAGTTTGGATCAAGGTTATATGATTGAATACTTTAAAACTTTTAAGGGATGGATGTCTGCTTCTGTATAATGATGAACATGATGTTTTCAAGTAAATTCTTACCGATTCTTCAGGTGTAAGAATATAGTCCAAAACATCAAGTTCCTCATAATACAGCAGACATCCATCATTTTTTCCTCCTTCATGTGTATCACTTAATAATCAGTTTTCAAGATTTTAAAACATTCGTTAAGTGACATCTGATCTGAATTGAGATAATTAATAACATTTTTTTAATGCCATGGTATCTGAAGGTCAGTGGGTCTTCATAAGAGACAATCAATTGTTACTCATCATATATAAATGATTCATTATATATCTTGTTTATGTAGTTTATAGAACATTGTCACTTTCTGTATGGAACGTTTGCACAATAAATACTTTATCT